AGTCAGAAAATTTTCTCATAATTTAGGCGAATTCAGTTGCATAATTGGTATATGTTGATGTTCCGCCTACCACATATTAAATAGATTACATGTGTAGCAGTACCACTATATAAAACACCGAAATTATAGAATTTCATTAATTATGCAAATTAAGTCCTCATTTGCATAATTTACATTTAATTTGGTACATCTCTCTCTCAGCTACCTACATTGCATAAATCATGAAAATACGTTGTTCCTATCTGGACTTATTGGCTTTAAAAGTTTTTATCAGAAGCTAACCTGCAGTTCTAGAACAAGCTGTTAGGGGGGCCAAACTTACACCACTTGTTTCTTTCAGGATAAGCTACCTGTCACCAAGAAACCAAGACAATAGCATGTTCAGGACAAAAGATACAAAACGGAAGTTCTGCTGCATTACCAATGTAAACCACCAGGAGGCCAATATTTGACCTTGACCTTCGTCTTCCTATGACCTACCAGCATACCTAATATCATCACAATCTATAAAGGCGTTATGAAGTTATGCTGACTACAAATGTGCGGAAACACAAACACAGACAAACACACACACACACACACACACACACACACACACACACACACACACAGACAGACGCACCAAACAAGAGGTAATTATCAGAAAACAAACGCATTAACGGCAACGAGGATACGTAATTAATTCTAATTTACCGTTTCAACGTGTTTCTCTTTGTGTCTTATCATCCGGACAAAGACAAATGCTGCATTAAAACTGATATTGAACAAGAAAAACTGAAATTGAGCAAAAATAAAAACTGATATTGAACAAGTTTGAAAGATAACTTCAGGGAAATGGTCATGTTCTAAGTCATTTGATTTGATTTGATTTGATTTTGTTCTAAGTCAGATTCGCCATGGGATTGGGCTCGTTTACTGGGTTTACTCGTTGCCCACCCACTCGGGGACTTTCTGTCCTCCTCGGCTGTCGCCTCGGGAGTCAGGCAGTCCCCTTGTGGGCGGAGCAACACTATATCCCAGTAAACTCGCCTGGCCCATGGTCTATCTAGAACTTAGGACAGGACGCCGTAAAGGAACATTTAACTGTGACCAATACAGCCGGTTGGCGGGTCTACATCGGCAACAAGCCACACAGGCTCCGTTTGAAATGTGACGCCAGCTGTTTTAAAGTTGCGCAAAAATGAGAAACTGTAAACGTAGTCGTGAACAAGTAGGCGCGCCAGAGGTAAGTTTATGCCTGCACTGCACTTCGTGAAGAAGATTGTTTTTAAAATCGTTTGTATGTGTATGTGTAATCTTTTTCGCACTGTTTTGCAGATTATGCACGATAAAGTCCGAAGGCATGGTCCGTGGTTCACGATTTTTGGCAGGCAGGTTGTCTTAGTGATGGGCATTGTAATAACCAGAAATGGGCCTCGTGGGGGGGGGGGTTCTTACGTGACTGGAGCTGACCTTTTGTGTTTGCGTTTTTTGTTGTTCGTCAGATAACTCGGAAATCCTTAGGTGGTTGTATATGATTTTCAGTGGGCAAGTCGCAGTTGAGAATACGGAGATCAAGTTCGGATATTGGCCTCGTGGGGGTTCCCATGTCATTGAATTTGACCTTTTGTGGTGGTCGTTATTGTTGTTAGCGGGATAATTCGTGTATCTGCAAATGGACGTTCACGATTTTTGCTGAGCAAGTTACCGTTGACGATAGGAAGATCAAGTTCAGAAAAGGGCGTCGTGGGAGGTCCGTACGTTACTGTAGTAACACTGGTCACTTTAAATTTGGAAAAGACACCAGCAAGCCCAAGTATGGAATTCCAGGCAGTTAGCATTATGGAATTATTACATTTTCTCATTAATTATGCAAATTTAGTGTCAATTTACATAACCAATATCTCTCGTTCTCAATTACATGTCACAAGCTTTTATAGTCCTATAATGTAATGCAGCGGATTTATAGAATTTCTCTATTTATTATGCAAATTACATCCAGATTTGCATAATTGCCGCATAATTATACCAGGCATTGCGTAAGCTACCTACATACCAAAAATCACGACGATCCTTCCACCGGTTCTTGAGTTATCCTCTTTTGAATATTTTCAAACAGATAGCCCTGCAGTTCCTGAGCAAAACGCTAGGGGGCCCAAACTCACGCCACTTCTTCCCCAGCAAAAGAGCTACATACCATTTTAATTTCGTCACCCCAGCATGTGTAGATCATGAGATATCAAAACCGGAAGTTCAGCTGCAGTACCATAACAAGCCGCTAGGGGGTCCAAAATCTAATCATTTCTAGGTCTTATCAAGACCTACCCATCTACCAAATATCAAGATCATCCATCTAAGGTTTCTCAAGTTATGCTGTTGACAGACGATAGGCTATTAAAAACTCATCTGGGGACCTGGAACCCCCAAGCTATCCGCTACTGGATACCGGGATGGAGATCACAAGTATTTAAAGGTCAATAACAGGTCAAACCATGAAAAATGTCACACTTTTTGGCCATATTTTAAAAATATACATCCTTCTGTCCTTCTTACCAGAAAACTGGGCCTTTCTGAGCAAAATTTGCCCCGGAAAACTTCGACGCGGTAAAAATTCCAGTAGGGTGCACTTCACAAATACGAAAATCGAATATGTTTGAGAAAAAGGCACAAAGTACAAAGTATCTAGAAACCAAAAAAATCCTGTCGGCGTATCTGCTCGTAACGTACACTTTGAAATCGTCCTCTACGGACGTGACCTGAACTGCAGCCGACTCACCCGGAAAGGCAGTTGCGTAATCCGGCGCATTTATACACGAACTGCAAAACCTTTACAATTCAAATCATACAGTCTTAAACCCGATACATTCCTACACCACACAGCACAATTTACGTCTGGCTGACGCTCTTATCAGGCTTTCTACATAGCCTTCAAGTATATTTGCTGTAATACTTTCTATGCCCGCGTCACAGACCCCGGGGGTCGCTCATCAATACTGTGTGCTGGTACCATACAGCATTTTCCTATCAGGAACAAGTGGTGTGGGTTTGGTCCCCCTAGCAGCTTGTTCTGGAACTGCAGGAGACCTTCGGGCGAAATCTTTGAAAGCCAATAAGTCCAGATAGGAACAACGTATATTTCATCAGTTTTGGTAGGTAGGTAGCTGAGAGAGAGAGATGTACATAATTAAATGCAGATTATGCAAATTATGACTTTATTTGCATAATTAATGAGGAAATTCTATAATTATATTGTTTTACATTATGCTACTTTCATACATGTAATGTATGTAACCTATGGCAGGCGGAACATCAACAGATACTTATTATACAAATGATGACCTAATTTGCATAATTAATGCGAAAATTCTATGATTTCTTAATGGTGAATGATGGGAATGTCATACTTGGGACATCTGTAAGTTAATCAAAAGTTAACATCACCATGCATATATTTTGTTAATGCACGGTCATTTGCACAATTAAAGAAATTTACATTTACATATCAAGCCCAGATTTAATGGAGGTATGAAGTCTTGGAACTGTTTTCCGTTGATTTTCTCATGGCGCATCCTGTTGGGGATCCGGGGGATGAAACTCCGTACACACTAAAATGATCATGATTGAAATATTTTGACATTATGAGTCCTGAAACTGCTGTTCGCCAATCCGAAGCTGGTCCGTTACGCCAAAAAGTGGTTAAAGTGGCTCTTCAGATACACATACACCATACAAGATACATTGCATTCGAATTGGATTGAAGTGTTACGTGATTGGAGCCCGCCATCTTGAACGCGGAGCCACTGCAGCTCCTACGTACATCTGCTAAAAGAAGGAAACTAAAAAGTCTGTACAGGTTAGAGGCTGAAAAATATGAAGAATACGTTTCTTTAAAGGAGTTCTGAAGTCCAGCCAGAAGTGCTATTTTCCGACAGATATTATTTTTTTGAATTGAAAAATGAATATTTTTTAACAATATACGCTAAGACACCCATTATGCGCGCAAGTATGAAAACGTATCGAATACAGCATAAACTCTCCGAATAGCCTCCAAACTATCCCAGAATGCACCGCGCTATCCCAGAGTCGTGCTTGGGCAAAGTTAGAGAGAAACTCGTCAGATGTGAGAGGACTTCAACTTCTGCGCCCTTTTCGCTACCAACAGTCAGGATTCACAAGGTATGTATCATGCAGTGGATTTAACACACATTTTTGAAAATGTCTAGATATGATATGGGGGTACAATGCTATTTCTAATGATATTTTGCACGACATGAATATAATTTATCTCAGGGCGTGCATGTCTGTTTATGTCTACGATGTCTGTGTTTTGTCCGACAAAATTGACGAAACAGAAATAATTTCAGGGGCGATAAGAAAAATTATCCTCGTTTCGTGTCCCTAGATGTCTTGTCTACCGTTGGCCTTCTTGATTTCCTTATCGCCCCTTGTTTATGTCGTAAATATTGACGATGAAGTGAAGTGTACATACCGAAAGAAAATAGCCGTGGCGGCCATGTTTGTTTTGGTTGTTGTTTTTCTGGTCGACCATTCACCGAATGCCGTGCGGCCACATGAAACGGCGTAACCTCTGTAACTCACGAGAAATCATACTTGAAGTGAATTCCCCTGTATCTTTTCAGTAATCGGTCTTATTGGTGGGCTTATCATCCCCGGTTTATGCCAATAACATTCACGTAGATTGTTCACATGACATGGCGTGTATGTCTGTTCATGCCTACGATGCATGTCTATGTTTTGCCCGACAAAACTTACGAAACAGAAATAATTTCAGGGGCGATAAGAAAAATTATCCTCGTTTCGTGTCCATAGATATCTTGTCTACCGTTGGCCTTCTTGATTTCCTTATCGCCCCTTGTTTATGTCGTAAATATTGACGATGAAGTGAAGTGTACATACCGAAAGAAAATAGCCGTGGCGGCCATGTTTGTTTTGGTGGTGTTGTTTTTCTCAGATGCCGCGCGGCCACATAAAACGGCGTAGAACTTCTGTAACTCGCGGGGAATCATAATTGAAATGAGTTTCCCGGTATCATTTCAGTTATCAGTCTTAATGGCTTGTATGTTTTCTATCGGTTTCACACAAAATATTTACGCTGACTTGAATAGTTGAAATGTATTGTACATAACATATGCACTGCAGTGAACTGACATATGAATAACTAGTACTATACTTACAAATCATGTTGTGCATTTGTACAGGAATGGAGCGTTTTTTGCGGTCATCTGGGAAAAGTCCTGGCAAGACGGTACATATTGAATTATTTTAATTAAAATAGACATTCTTTTTAGTAGAAACATTTTTAATTTCACAGTAAAGACAAGTGGCAAACTGAATGTGTATGATTCATATACTGGTATGTGTTGCCCCCTTTTTTATCTACATATTATGTACACAAATTCCAATTTGTCCATTCATTGTCCAGTTTGAAAAAATGTTGGTCAGAAATTTCATAATTTGTAAGAATCAAATGTGGTAAAATTCTTGAACCATGGAAGATAACTTCTACTGTGATAGTGTATGGTCACAATTTTTTTTTATTCCCAACTTTAGAAAGTTGTCAAAAAGAAAAGACACCGAGAGGCGTGGTCCAGAAAAGAGACAAGAGCTCTCATCCAGTTTTGTTCCCTGCCCTGTGAAGGGTGTTGGGACCCGACTGTGTCAGAGGGGTGGCCAGGGACAAAGTCCTCACAGTTCTGGTCGAAAGCTGTGAAATATGTGAGGCAGCACGGGGAAAGTACTACTCTGCGTACAGGTTGGTGACACTAATATAGCCATCTATTTACTGACTAGTTTGTAGAAAACCAATGAAATACCCACAGGTTCTTGACATTTCGCTTACCATTATGGCCAGGGTGAAATGCTGCAAGTCTGTTGGTAATATCCTCAATGCTGCAAGAATATCTCAGTTACCTAGTGAGTTAGTTACAATACTAGTAATATCCATGTTTTCTGCAATATAGAGAATATTTATTTCAACATTCTTTTTACACTGATAGTAATATTCCCTTGTTGACTTTGGTCACTTTCACTTCAGAAACAGCTGTCCGGTCACATGTCAACAAGTACTTGAATGCCCGGTACCCAGAATGTGATGGGGGCAGATTGGCAGCAGAGAAGGTATGTACATGGTATATTATTATCGTGATGTTGTGATGCATGTAATTTTTTTTATCATCATTGATATATGTCACATATTTGTCACATTTGACGTGGGATATATTGTAAATATGATCTTTCCATGCCATAGATTGTAATTCTGGTCTGTCCTAGAACAATCCAATGCTCTCTTTGGAAAGATTGTGCCCTTACGAGTAGGACAGATTGGAATTCAAGTATGATTTTGGGCCTGCCTTGGTCTAGGACAAATAGGAATAAGCCCGTAAGCCTATCTCTGCTGAAACTGATTAAAATGATAGTTGTGAAATGGTTTAGTCCAATTTCCAAAAACATTTTGATATAATAATGTCTTCCTACTCTTAGTACAAGTCTAGCTTGCCCTGAATTCCAATTTCTACTGTGACATATTATGAATATATTTGAAATTGGTTTGATTTTATATTTTTTTGCTGACAGTAATTTTTTATACAAGACTTGGAATGGTCTGCATATCCTGCTTATAATGTACATAGATTCAGTGCCTCTACCCTGGACTGCATTTTGTTCATTTTGTCTTACCATGTCATTGTTGTTTTCAGGCCTTTTGTGATCCTGTACCAGGGTGCAGTACTACACCTGATCCAGTCAGTCCGGATTCTTTCAATCTTGACCTGCCAAGGACTCCTGCTTCACCATGTAGCCACTCTTCTCTGCTGGGAAATCCACTTTCATCAACACCCATGGATTTCAGCACTGTTAGCCATTCCACTCTGCTGGAAAGCCCCATTCCAACACCCATGGATTTCAGCACATGCACAGTTAGCCACTCCACTCTGCTGGGAAGCCCCCTTTCATCAACACCCATGAACTCAACTACAATTCCAGGAAGACGGAACGTTGCGACACAGACGGGTGAGGATGAAGAAGAGAAGGTAATGTCATCCACTCCAATCAAGGGAAAGAATCCCATGGACATGTCGTTCACACCTTCATCCACGTACTCAACACCAGGAAAGAAAGATGTGTCATGGTACCCTGACTCTGACCATCAATCATCCTCAGATGATGAGGCAGAAGACCTATGTCAGATTGCAGAGGAAGAATGTTCCCTGGATGGAAAACGGTTCATTGTGTTTGGGGAGAAACTGAAAGAACTTTTCGAGAACTGTCGTAATCCTGAGTGTGGTAGACCTACCCTCATCAAGTCAACAACAAAGGGTTCTGCCCTTTCCATAACCCAAACGTGCCCAAAATGCCCTCCGCGTACATGGCGTTCTCAACCGTATGATAAAAGAATGGCGCGTGGCAACCTGCTCATACCGTCAGCCATCCTGTTCACTGGAGGATCCATATCGAAATTCATTGACTTTGCAGATGCGCTGCAACTACAGGTTTTCAGCCAGAAACACTTCTTCAACATACAGAGCCACTATGCAATGCCGGTAGTAGATGAGTACTACCTCTACCAACAGGACTTGGCGCTGGACTTGTGTAGGGGTGGACCGGTAGATGTCATTGGGGACGGCAGATGTGACAGTCCTGGTCACTGTGCCAAGTACTTGTCATACACACTCATGGAGGAAACGACTGGCCTGATCCTGGAGCTGGTGCAAGTCACGGAAACTGGGACATCACAGTCCATGGAAAAGGAGGGCCTGGACAGGTGCCTCACCTTCCTGACAGACCCTGAAGGACAGGACATAGATGTTCAGTGTGTCACAACTGACAGGCACAGAGGAGTGGGCGCCCTGATGAAGAAGGAGTACAGAGACATCGACCACCAGTTCGACGTGTTTCATGTGTACAAAAATGTGAAGAAGAAGTTGTGTGGGAAGGCTAAACTCAAAGACTGTGCTGAGCTGACAGAGTGGACCAAGTCCATTTGCAATCATCTGTGGTGGTGTGCAAAAACATGCGGAGGGAACGCAGAGGTTTGTTTCTGTCCTTGATCTTTAATTCTCAAAATGTGTTCAAAATAATAGTCTTTTAGATTGTATATGTAAACTTGCCATTATACCATACGTGGCCTGATATTGAATGATCCCAGAAACTTTACTTACACTTTCATCAGAGTGATTCTTTCTTATGTTGCAGTAGGCTATGTTGCCTTATAATAGAGGCTTCATCAACTTTTTATGTTTCTTTGATATACATATATCTGCTTGTTTCTGGCATAGAATCTTTTGCTGAGTAGAACATAGTTCAGTTATGGAGACTTTTTTAGAAGTAGACATTCTGACTGAGGCTCTAGTTTTAGAATATGTTGTCTTTCAAATTCCCAGTTTCAACAAGTAGCCAAACTAACTCTTGATAAATGCCTTGTAGGGGACAAAGGTACATTTATTTGTGTACGAACAGACATGAGCATATTCCAACCAGATTATTTGATTTCAGTGTCTGAGGGAGAAGTGGACCTCCATAATGAACCACACAACCAACGTCCACAGCTGGTCTGGAAACCAGTTCTTCCACGCTTGTAAGCACAAACAGGCCACACAACGCCAGGAGGAGACAACAACAAAATGGCTCAAGGTGGACTCGCCTCCTCACAAGGCGCTGAAAGCAGTTGTCTTTGAGAAGGCACTGCTAAGAGACATGGGCCAGATGACGAAGTACAAGCACACCGGTGGGTACAGTATTTTCCTTTATGTTTTTGTGGACTATGGTTATATGTAAACAGTATCTATACTTTCAAGAATAAAGAATGATATTCATTCATTCATACCACTTTGTCTATGTTACAAATACATGTACCGTGCGAACCATCCTCATCAAAGGTTTTGATGAGGTTGTTATGATCATTTTGATTGTATTGCTTTGTCATTTCTGCAGGTCAGCTGGAGGTGTACCACAATGTGGTGTTGAAATATGCACCAAAGAGGCTGCAGTACCCCTACCCTGGAATGAGGGCACGTCTGCAGCTCTCAGTCATTGACCACAATGAAAACATTGGAAGGACACAGGCGAAGACCTCACGAGGTCTGTGGTCTTTTTTGTGATTCAGCTCAAATGTGGTCACTAGCTATGTGTATGGCATGTTTGTAAATATATGTATACAGGCCAGGGTGCGGGGCATTTTTTCACAGCGTGCATTGTATCCCCAAATCATGACCACAGCAGGTCTGGTATTCTTCCCGAAAAATTTTGACTTGTATTGTAACCCTGGCACATTATATACTGCTTATTGAGCGACAGATTTTGTACAGATATGTTGACTCTCTTTTATGGCTTTTCTCTAGAATAAAATTTTCATTTTTTAAAACAGTTTATGAAGGGTGACAAGATTGTCCCCATAGAAAACACCTCTATACTAGTTGAAAGAGTGTAGGGGGATAAATCACAACCTATTGGGTCCAAATCACAGTGGAAACTAGAATGTTAGAATTAGAATTGTTTTTTTTTATAGGAGACCTGAGGCATAGGCTGGACTATAGCAAACGACAGAAACGGTTTGCTATCAAGACTGTCTATGAGAGAAAGGACTACACTTTCCGCCAGAAGCTGATGGAGGCAGTGCTGCAAAGGCGACAGGACGGGGAAGTGAGGCCAATGCGTCGACGGCTTGACCTGCCAGCGAACATCGCCCCTGTACCACGACCAGACAAGGCAGAGGCTTTGGCACTACATAGGTCACGGTTTGCAGATAGGTGAGTGTTGCAGATACATTCTTTTTCTAGTGCATCCTTTAGTAGGCTTTACCATGATGTCTGTAATATGTGATAAAAGCTGTTGTGTGATTACCATAATTCACTTTTTTACACTTTCTAACTATACATGATTTCAACAATTATTATATGATCATGAATGTATTTTCTTATTATTTTTCTCTTTGTCACACAGGGAACGACACACTTAGAAGACAATGTACGACTCTGAAACAAATGAGTGGAAATCGGTACATTTGTATTGGATGCACAGTTCTTATACTATATAGCAAGTCTTACACAATGTACGACTCTGAAACAAAGGAGTGGAAATCGGTACATTTGTATTGGATGCACAGTTCTTATACTATATAGCAAGACAGTAAAACATGGTAATTATTTCAAGTTGAAAAGTAAAACTATAGTTGTATGTTCTGGTTCATTGTTATGTCAGATTCTAATGATTTATGATGTCTTATACAATGTACGACTCTGAGACAAAGGAGTGGAAATCGGTACATTTGTATTGGATGAACAGTTCTTATACTATATAGCAAGACAGTAAAACATGGTAATTATTTCAAGTTGAAAAGTAAAACTATAGTTGTATGTTCTGGTTCATTGTTATGTCAGATTCTAATGATTTATGATGTCTTATACAATGTACGACTCTGAGACAAAGGAGTGGAAATCGGTACATTTGTATTGGATGCACAGTTCTTATATTATATAGCAAGACAGTAAAACATGGTCATTATTTCAAGTTGAAAAGTAAAACTATAGTTGTATGTTCTGGTTCATTGTTATGTCAGATTACGGCATTCCTCATGATTTATGATGTCTTATACAATGTACGACCACTATTTCCAGTTGAAAAGTTAATTTAACCAAAAAAAAAGGGATGTGTCTGAAGCTCTGAATTTGTCTGCCCTCGCTACTCATCAGCCTCCAAAAATCCAACATACACTCCATCTGGACTTGGGTACTCCTCCCGGATCTTCACAACTGCACAGGCTGGTATCACCCGTCTCACAGCTTTCCCCAGCCTCCGTTTGTGCGCCCAGCAGGTGAACTGCCGATAGGCAGATAACCTCAGGATTCTGGAGCATACGAAAAGAAACATTTTCCATCAAAATTTTCAATTTCTTGACAGCAATTTCGTGTACAACAGTAACGAATAGAAATCAAGACTTTATAAGAATTCAATGGCTTACAATGCCGGTCATCAGTTTTCTAAGTTATAGCAGAGACCTTGGTTATAGCTAGAGAAACAATGACAGAAACCAGATAAACAAATTATCAAGGAAGAAAGGTAGATGACATTTACCTGTTACTGAGAGGTTCTCTGACATCTTGCAGTCCGAGATTCGCCCTCTGAATCAGGGCAGTCTTCAAAGCTGCCCTCATGATGCAAAGGGGGTGGAATTCTTCGTGGAGCGTGATGCATCTGAGCTCGTCCGGACCCACGCCAACGCCTCTACCGCCTCCATCAAGGTTGGCCTCGTCAACGGGTTCAGTGAGTTCGAGGAGGTCATGGCAGCACACACATTCTCTAACGGTAGGCAATATCCGGCAGTTGCCTCCACAACGGCACCAAACTTGGAGTTGGCCCGGTCGTCTCCGCCAGCCTTCCGTCTCCACATCGACGCCGTCCCAAGCCGCAATCGGCACTGCCGCCCCCGGTCCAACAACGCCGGGCACACCGGCTTCTTCTTCGTCATTCGGAGCCTCTCCCGGCTCGTACTGCGGCTCGAAACTGTACGGCTGAATGTCGTCAGTATCTAGGGAGAGATCACTGTCGTCAGAGTCCGATAGCGTGTCATTCTGGCTGTCATTTGCGTAGTCTGATGCCGAGTCTGACTCTACGTCCGCCATGACAGTTCTGAATATGAGCATTGCGTAATCAAAGTTCCCGGATGTAGCAGCAGAGGGTCCGCATGGGGAAAAACGATATTGGTATCGCTTTGCAAAACACGCGCTGCGCAAGTCGCGCAAGCAAAATATTGTAAAAATTCGGTAAATTATGTGTTCAGTGAAACCCAATCTATAGGAAAATAGCAATTCCGGCTGGACTTCAGAACTCCTTTAACATGCTGGTTGACCAGGATAGCCTTGAGCCGATGTTTTGCAAGGTTTAATATTCACTGAAATACTGCGATCCCACTTGATCCTAACTTTAGTAGCTTGTTGAAAATGTATTACTGCATGTTTTCTATCTATACTTGATTGGCAATGTATCCATATCACACAAGGGCAATTTTAACTGTACTGTGCATAAAAGACCGAATCAGTTGTGGTATTTTTAATTGATGACGTCACACTAGGGATGCAAGTTGGAAGCCAACTTGCGTTTTCTCCCGCTGTTAACTAGCGTCTTGTATTTCCTCCTTGACGTGGATCAATTTTGATTTAAATCGGACAAAATTAAAACGATTCGGAGTTTTAAAAAAATGATCCAGATTGATAAATTCTGATGTTATTCAACGCTTAGGGGCATATAATTGGCTGTACCATAATGTTTATGCGCTTGATGTAAATCGCCTCCTACTTGCAGTATTTTTAGTATTTCAGTATTTTTACCCCAATGTGCTAACCATAGTATGTCAAGAACACGAAATATTTAAAAAGGCTTTTACGTTGGTAACAGAAAAGCACGCACGCACTAAGATACACACACATACATGTACACACACCAAACAGAGAGAGAGAGAGAGACAGAGAGAAAAAGAGAGAGGTCTACACATAAACGTGCACATATATAGCTAGGTTTCCGCCAGTTGAGTTGGTACAATCTCCGGACTGATAGTTTCCAACATATGTAATTCCTTAACAAAATGCATATAGATAAAAAAAAATTACCGACTTTTAAAGATGAAAGACTTGGTTCCTACCGATAGTCCGATACCCTTTCTGCAAATGTTCTTGTCTACCTCCGAGTGGACGAGACTTCCAAGTTACCTCTCCCTGAGAGGTGTCTAAATATGTATTCGTGGAACCAGGCGCTAGCCTGTTATTTGTTTGCTTTTGTGGTTCTCCTGCATCCGTGTGTAGTTCCTATTTAAGTTCAAAATATCAACATTTCGGGTCGCTCGAAGTCTAACTATGAACTCATATTACATGCAGAATTAAGTATAAGAGTCATATGTCAAAAACCATTCACGTTTAATTTAGCTTCCCAGGCACATTTTAGGATCTTGCAACGTTAAGCTTTGGTCCCAATTAGAAAAAAAGGGCCCTGGCGGGTATTTTGTAACAGTGGGAAGAGATAATAATTTTTGGTTGCCATGGCTACGGGTTTCTGACGGGCATTTGTTTGCAAAATTTTGTAATTTTTGTTTCAACGAAAGATTTTTATTATTGATATCGTGGGGTCGTGTGACGTGCGCGACTCGGAATGAAGAGGTCCCGGGTTCGATTCCTGATATGCCACCGATTTTTTGCCCTTGGGAAAAGCACTTTCCCCACTTGACTCAAGTGAAAATGAGTATTGTCCAGTATTCGTTTCTTTGTGCGGGACACAACCCCAGCAACAGCTGCCTCTGCTTCGCGTGCATTGCATTGTTTCAATTTCAATAAAATGAAATCAAATCAGATATAGGCATCGTTACAGAAACAAACTTACCCCATATAAAGTACGGATATAGGGGTACACCCTCTTTTACCGTTGTCGTACTGGCCTCGGTTGGGTTAAGGCGCCCTAAGCTGATATTAATGTTCGAGTTCGGGCGTGTGTCTGCATGATGGCCACAGACTTGTGATGATGTTCCACCATGTGCGATATAACGTCATTCGAAGAGAACGCGTGTTCGAATCCGGGGTTACCGTCGGTCATTTGTATGTTTCCCCTGTAAACCCGCGTTGTTACGCATTTTATTCACGGAGTATGACTTAAACGGATTTACGTGCAGTTGAAAACAACATAATTGATCTTTAGAGTAATCCATGTTTATGTATTATCACTTTCTTATTAAATTTGTCAGAGGCTATTTTGCACAAATTTTGATCTTTTCTTATGCTTCGGTCCCATTTGAAAAAAAGGGCCCCTGCCGGGTAGTTCCCGGGCTGATTTATGGAACTTTCGGGCGTGACCCCTAAGTGGCCCCGCGGGACACCCTGCGGCTACCGGGCTATTTGTCGGCCCGGTGGGGACCCGAGAAGAATTTAATTCTAACTTAAATTCTACCCGGGTCCCACTGAAAAAAAGACGCCGTGACCGTGCCGACACCGACAGGTACCCCTCCGGTTGCCGGCAGTCCACCGGGACACATTTGTTACGTCATAGACCAGATGAACAGAATAAAGGTGTACACTTCGTTCCCCGGGTAAAAAGTGTGACGTCATATATCAAATGATCACAACAAAAGCGTGAATTCTGCATTACGCATAGGTCAGTACAAGACATCGTCAGAGAATCTGCCGGGTGCCTGCCAGAGACCGACCAAAGAGGGTGACAAAATTCTACTGAAGGAAACTTTTAATTGTGACCATGACAACCGATGCTCGCCCGACTTCTGAGCCCGACCGGGGCCGGCCAGGGCTACATCCCCGACGGGCACCAGTGCAATTGGGACCGAAGCTTTACTGGGGCGATCTTTCAAAACCAAAAATGGCCAAAAATAGCTGTTTCTTGTGATTTTGACCCAAAACTTAAACATAATACCCATTAGCCTCGGACAAAGATACCTTGTATGGGCTTGGCTCTCATCTTGTAGAATATAACGATTGATGGTGTTATTACCGCCTGCGCGTAAATTCATGAAATAAACGACTATTTTCTTTTAGCCAAAATGAGTGTTTTTAACCCAAAATCCAGGTGATGAAAATCTGAAGTGCCCATTATTCAATGCGTTTCAAATACAACTAAAACTGTGCGATGCGACCAAGCTATCAAAAGTTACAGGCATATGTATAGAATACTACTTTCCCATAAGCCTAGGCAACCTTAACCCAACCGACGCATCCGAGGCGTGGGCATAGCAATTTATATAAGAGAGACTTTACCCGAAGAAATTTTTTGATTTTTAAAGAAACTCCTAAAGAGCTAGAGTGCCTATGGATTTTAGTCAAACCTCACTGGTCACCTAGGTAGGGACATTACAAATCTAGCTATATGACATTGTGTTGTTTATAATCATCCAAACAATCCACATCAGGTTATGTTATGTAACTACCTCCTCAAAGGTATTGACAAAAGATTAGCACCAAATATCCCCACGGAGGAATATGTCTTATGGGAGATTTTAACAAGTTCGAAACCTCGCCCGTTCTTCATGGTAGCAAACTCAACCAAGTCGTCAAACACCACAGTAGTATATAGTCAGCAGCAGACGCCCGATTTTCCAGGCTCGGTCAGGCTCGGTCAAAGGTCAGGGGTCACCGTCATTATGTTAACGAGTATGCAAATTTTTGTGAAGGATATGCAGATGCATGCAGGAAAATGGGGCGTCTGCTGCTGACTATATACTACTCAACACACTAGGGGAGGGGCAGTCCTTGACCTGATTATTAACATAGGCCTTTCCTACTCGGTCCAAAGGCCACATGGTCTGAAGCTACCCCAAAACCAATTCTCTTGGGAATGCACTCGTGGAGTTTTCCGCATTTTTGCAAATTGATCGTAATATACTGCAAAAATGCATCCACCCCTGACGCGTCGCCAAAAAAGCCCAGTCTAGATAGGTTTAAACTTACCAAACCCAATCAGCCTCTCCTTGATATGCACTGAGTAAAATTGCTAATATTTATGACATATTTGTATATAATTCAAGACACAATGTTTGGAATACTAAACGATAATAAAAGTGGACTTACTTAATGTGCAGAAAACAGTTCAACGAAAAGTTAAAAAGAATACGCAGACGAGTTGGATTTTTACCACACCCTTTCGAGTGGCCTCTGCGAGGTGTCTACGTGTAACTGCGGCTGATTCGTATCTCTAATTTGTTTGTTGTTACTACCGTGGTGTATGCAAATCACGAACTGTGCGTAGCAAAACGCCACAGAAAAAACTTGCAGACATACAAAGCTCCCTCCTTTATTTCCCCGTCTTCACGCTGATCAAGGATTTTGCGATGATCGTAGTAGTTCAAAAAGGAATCTGTAGCAGGATAAAGAGACTTTTTTTTACACAAAACATGCATCGTGTTCAACTCAGAACTGAGACAGCCCACCCAGAGCTGTAAAGACAAGTAAATTTGTTAGAGACCGAAACCACATGCACACCCTTTGGGGCCCAAAAAGGGTAGCCCATCAAGGTAGCCCTAACCCTAGCCTAGCCCATTTTTTCTGGATACCCTTTTCTGTGCAGACGAGGAAGGTATTCGCGCAGACGAGGAAGGTATTCGCGCAGACGAGGAAGGTATTCGCGCAGACGAGGAAGGTATTCGCGCAGACGAGGAAGGTATTCGCGCAGACGAGGAAGGTATTCGCGCAGACTAGGAAGGTATTCGCGCAGACGTGGAAAGTACTCGCGCAGACGTGGGAGGTATTCGCGCAGACTAGGAAGGTATTCGCGCAGACGTGGAAAGTACTCGCGCAGACGTGGAAGGTATTCGTGCAGACAAGGAAGTTTTTTTTCTGTTCAGACGTGGAAGCTATTCGCGCTGACGTGGAAGGTATTCGCGCAGACGTGGAAGGTATTCGCGCAGACGTGGAAGGTACTCGCGCAGACGTGGAAGGTATTCGCGCTGACGTGGAAGGTATTCGTGCAGACACGCATGCCTGTACTTACGGGCCACCGTAATATGCCTCGTGGTTGTTGTACAAAGTAATATGTTAAATCATCGTTACGTACCATTGAGACATTCTTCTTACAGTATGCTTTAAACGTGGCAAGTCTGCGGGATTGTTCCTTCTCAGCTTCCGCTATGTTATCCCAGTCGTCTTAAAAAGAAAGTTACACGTTTGCAAGAAAAGGCGCGTATGCTACAAGATGTTTGGAAGATTAAGACACTTGACAATGTTTGGCAAAAGAAATAGAATTATCAAAAATATTGCTACCATATCATAAGATCAAGTACATTCCGGCTATTTTCCTTTAAATTTTTATACGTAGGTCGACTTTTTACATTAAAGGTTACTTTTAACATCGTTTGTGTATTGACGATACATGATATCGGACAGTTTGAATATGTATAACGTCATTTTCTGACGTCACTAGTATTGCTATGGACAACATAGCTTCTAGTAGACCTTTATATGATATAATACCATATCCTTTATCCCTTTTGTTAATCTTGTGTTGTATACCATTTAGTTTTATAATAATAATCCATCTAGATCGTTTTAGGCAGTGTAATTACTGTTATTCTGACGTAATATGACGTCATAACTGTGATTATATTGGCCAAAACCGTATAAATAGGTTATTCTCTAAAAACTCAATTGTATACGACATAATTTTAAGAAAAAGGGGTTTATAATAGAATACTACGTACGGTGTACTGACTTATTTTGCACATAGGAACACTAGTGAGGTCATAAAATGACACAAGAAAAATATGCTAAAATGCAGTTTCTTGAAATTCTTGCACAATTCATGGACAAGATTTTTTTCTTGGGTGAAGAAAAATTTTCTCAGTGGAAGAAAATTATTCCTCTCTGAAAAAAAAATTGCCACTTTGGTAGTGTAGCTTCTAAAAATAGACTAGCAGTACTGTAATGATAACATTGTCATTGTTGCCATACAATGTACCACAAATGTATATATATATATTCATGCATTTATTCATGCATTCATTTTATCACTTCAAACAGTTGTCTATACTGACAAGCTCGAAGCCCGAGTTTTCGTACAGATAGTCCATGAGGAAAGCGGAGATCATGTAGCTGTCGGGATGATCGCTGTCCAGAGTGAGAATCCCGCCGTATGAGATCCGTTCGTGCAGAATCCGGAGCGCCTTGGGTGTCCTTTCCACGTCTCGGAATCGGTAGTAGTTTTCTTCCGTCAACAGCGTGCCTGAAACAAGCATAGAAGTATGAACCTGAAGTGTTACTGTGTCACAAATTCATAAATATGGCCACTGAACTGAACACTAGCCGAACGCCCTGCACTCATGGTTTGGAGTAGGCCGGCGCAACGTTGGCTGGTGTTCGGTGAATTCGGCTGGCGTGTTTCAAGTATTTAAAACATTCGCCGCGTTTTAAATGTTCAAAACATTCGGGGGCTGGTCGGGATGTTCGCTGATACATTCAGCAGAACGCCAATCATTCGTTTCGGGGGTCAAATTTGACTAAAATTTAATTCTAATCCGTTTCGACTCGTATACAAAAAGGTGGGCGTGGCCTAAATCTGTTCGGACTGTAGAGTCTACGAACAGCCTAACGGTAACACAAGAATAGCTCTAACTTACCAATGTTCGGAGGAAACTTGGTTGTCGATTGGATGATTCTCATTCCCCTTCTACTAGCTTCATTTTTCACCTGATTTGACAGGCTACTCGGATAGAAGTAGGCTGGTTGCAGCCCCGCTTCTCTCATCCGCTGCACGGCCGAGATCATTCCCATCCGCACGACGTTGGTGTTCTGAAGGTCCCAGTGATCTTCTGGAAAGGGTGCGTTCTATTGGGAAGATTTAAACAGGAGATTAAACGAGTACGTTGGAACACCTTTCTAATTATGCTTACCTTCACAGAAGGAAACATATCGTTTTTGCTCTGTTTCTTCTTCTCCATCTGCAAACAAATAAGGTCAATTACCCGGACCAGACGATTGTCACCAGGGTAACTGTTGTTGTGTTGGATTACATTTATTATGTAGCAGATGGCAGACCAGGGTTAAGCTAAGGTCCCAATTACGCCGGTGCCCGTCGGGGATGTAGCCCCGGCTGGCCCCGGCCGGGTTCAGGAGTCGAGCGGGCATCCGCTGTCGTGGTCACAATTAAAAGTTTCCTTCAGTAGCATTTTGTTAGAAATTTTGTCACCCTCTTTGGTCCGTATCCGGCAGGCACCCGGCAGGTACCCAGCAGATTCTCTGACGATGTCTTGTACTGACCTATACGTAATGCAGAATTCACGTAGTTGTTGTGATCATTTGATCTGTGAGGTCACACATTTTACCCGGGTTTACAAAGCACACACCTTTATTCTGTTCATCTGGTCTGTGACGTAAGAAATGTGTCCCGGTGGAATGCCGGCAACCGGAGGGGTGCCTCTCGGTGTTCTCACGATGAGATCACGGCGTCTTTTTGTCAGCGGGGCCCGGGTAGAATTTAACTCAGAATTAAATTCTTATCGAGGCCCGGACGGGCCAAAAAATAGCCCGGTAGCCGCAGGGTGCCCCGCGGGGCCACGTCGGGGTCCCACCCGAAAGTGGTAAAAAACAGCCCGGGAACTACCCGCCAGGGCCCCTTTTCCCAATTGGGACCTTAGCTTTAAAGGGGCTGGTCACCAACACCCGCGGATCCGGCGCCCCCCCCCCCCCCCGTTCCACAAATTTCTGGATCATATATATATATATATATATGAATGTGTTTGAGTAAGAGTAAACAGGTAGTATTTTGTTAGGCTAGACCGTGTAAAGGTAATATTATGCATTTAGTTTGCAGATATTGCCTTTCTAGTTCAGAGGTGTATCTTTCGAATAACACTCTACCTATAGTCAGTGTTATAAGTGGAAGTATACGGAGGTGCCAGGTGGTACCTTAGAATCAATGTCGCACTCTGAGATAGAACATACCTCTCGCATCCCTATGGTGTATGTCTGTGCCCACTGTGTGACCAGGTCTGGATATTCCTGCACGAAGTCCCCGTACACGAACAGAGTGGCCGGCATGTTGCTGTGGTGCGCCCGGATAGTCTCCACCAGCTTGTGGGCCGCCTTCCTGTTTTATTGTTGTTGACATGTATTCACGCAAAATATACACAGATATGTAAAGAAATTTTTCCGTCAGTCTTAAAGACTACGACTGTGCTCACTGGCACAGTTATTTTACAGATCGAATCAAATTTAATTGCCAATATCCTACAAAATTCTCGCTAGTTATCATCAAAGAATGTCACGTTGGACAAGCGTCACCTTAGACAAACGGTAGGCTTTACATACTAGTAGGCAAGTCACTTTTAAAATTTTAACGTCTATGAGGGGAAATCGGGACCGAAAAAAAGGGCTAACGCTTCGGCAGTTTGATTGTGCGTATCAATGGGTACTTGTGCACTAACCTGTTCATCCCGACCTGTACCGCCAGGGTAAGTTCTGTGATAACTTGTGTACCGACCTGTTAATCCCGACCTGTACCGTCATTGATACGTTCTGTGGATAACTTGTGTACCGACCTATTCATCCCGACCTGTACCGTAATGGTAAGTTCTGTGATAACTTGTGTACCGACCTGTACATCCCGACCTGTACCGTAATGGTAAGTTCTGTGATAACTTGTGTACCGACCTGTTCATCCCGACCAGTACCGTAATGGTAAGTTCTGTGATAACTCGTGTACCGACCTGTTCATAACGACCAGTACCGTAATGGTAAGTTCTGTGATAACTTGTGTACCGACCTGTTTATCCCGACCTGTACAGTCAGGGTTAGTTCTGTGATAACTTGTGTACTGACCTGTTTATCCCGACCTGTACAGTCAGGGTAAGTTCAGTGATAACTTGTGTACCGACCTGTTTATTCCGACCTGTACCGTCAGGGTAAGTTCTGTGATAACTTGTGTACCGACCTGTTTATCCCGACCTGTACCGTAATAGTAAGTTCTGTGATAACTTGTGTACCGACCTGTTCATCCCGACCTGTACCGTAATGGTAGGTTCTGTGATAACTTGTGTACCGACCTGTTCATCCCGACCTGTACAGTCATGGTAAGTTCTGATAACTTGTGTACCGACCTGTTCATCCCGACCTGTACCGTCACGGTAAGTTCTGTGATAACTTGTTTACCGACCTGTTTAATCCCGACCTGTACAGTCATGGTAAGTTCTGTGATAACTTGTTTACCGACCTGTTCATCCCGACCTGTACCGTAATGGTAAGTTCTGTGATAACTTGTGTACCGACCTGTTCATCCCGACCTGTACCGTAATGGTAAGTTCTGTGATAACTTGTGTACCGACCTGTTTATCCCGACCTGTACCGTAATGGTAAGTTCTGTGATAACTTGTGTACCGACCTGTTTATCCCGACCTGTACCGTAATGGTAGGTTCTGTGATAACTCGTGTACCGACCTGTTCATAACGACCAGTACCGTAATGGTAAGTTCTGTGATAACTTGTGTACCGACCTGTTTATCCCGACCTGTACAGTCAGGGTTAGTTCTGTGATAACTTGTGTACTGACCTGTTTATCCCGACCTGTACAGTCAGGGTAAGTTCAGTGATAACTTGTGTACCGACCTGTTTATTCCGACCTGTACCGTCAGGGTAAGTTCTGTGATAACTTGTGTACCGACCTGTTTATCCCGACCTGTACCGTAATAGTAAGTTCTGTGATAACTTGTGTACCGACCTGTTCATCCCGACCTGTACCGTAATGGTAGGTTCTGTGATAACTTGTGTACCGACCTGTTCATCCCGACCTGTACAGTCATGGTAAGTTCTGATAACTTGTGTACCGACCTGTTCATCCCGACCTGTACCGTAACGGTAAGTTCTGTGATAACTTGTGTACCGACCTGTTCATCCCGACCAGTACCACCACGGTAAGTTCTGTGATAACTTGTGTACCGACCTGTTCATCCCGACCTGTACCGTAAGGGTAAGTTCTGTGATAACTTGTGTACCGACCTGTTCATCCCGACCTGTACCGTAATGGTAAGTTCT